CCAGAGGTAGCATTCAAAAGGAGTATTGTCATGTTGTAAGTTCTGAACTAAACACACATAGCTTCAGTCACTTCCATTATCACAAATTCATCCCTCCAGAAAATCTCAAGACAAAAGCAACGTAATTAAACGCAAGTTGGTATGTTTTTAACAAAAATCAAACGGCTAAATTTATTGAATTTTGAAACTGATGGCATTAACTTCCATTTAGAAGAAATCAACAGCCAAGAATTTTGCCACTCATCAAGTATATATGTGCTCGACGCATATTATATGTACATCCCACAGTAGTAAAAAAACATATGCAAAAACAAAAAACAATAAGCCACCAGGACCAGATGAAGTACTTGCTGACATTTGTAGTAAGCTTGACGATATCTTAGTGAACTGACTGGTGAGTCAGTCCAATATAGTCTCATATTGTCTAGTACTAACAGCGGTTGAAAACACAAAATATTCGGATGTAATTCTCCCGAGTTACATCCAAGATAATGTATAAATGTATCGATATGTGCGTCCGCCTGTTTTGCACGCTGCACGCCAGGTTATCATAATAGTCAAATCTCAATCGAATTTGAACTCTACCTGAAATGTATTAAGGTTTGAAATCGATTGAGAAAATTTAAGAGATTTGTGTAGCCTGACGTGCTATTGTCTGAACATTTTCCTGTGCGTCAGGCTGGCTAGCTGTCTAGCTGGAAGGCTAGACAGTATTTCATATACACATAGATATTTCAATATTTTCAAACAAAGTTATATTCTAATTAGTATTCGTATGTTATTTGATAATACTTATTATACCTAGGTATATCGATAGAAAGTTGTAGTCATATCTGAAAAAGGTCATAAAGCCGAGAAGAGTTTTTGAAAATCAAACAAAATCACAGAATCAATCCGGGCCCAACGTCATGGGCAGGAGGCGTTACCATTACCTAATTATACAATAAAGAACAGTTTTAAAATGACATCTATTACAGAAAAAACATCACGAGAACCCATTCTCAAGTATATATGATAAAGCCTGAAGATTTTGTTGAAAATTGACATAAACACCCACCGGAACGCCCAACAGCTACTTGGTGGAAAAACCTTAAAGAACTTACATGTAACACACCATGCCACATATTCAGAGGGCCGACTAGGAAGAAAAAAAAGAAAGAAAGAGTAAGTGAACTCACTGGTGACACAGCGCCGTTGACAGGTTGCTGCATTGTGGCCGCCAGAGGGGACGTGGTAGCTCTCAAAGGGGAGACGGTCATTCCTAAATGTTTGCTGTTGATCAACCGCTTTAGTAGTTGCGTTGCTTCTCCACCGCGACCTGTCAGAGACGAGAAAACTTCGCTAAAATATACTAAGATCTATAAATGTTATATATCGAGGATTGAAAGGTTTATTGGTTTAAGCGAAATGCCTCTGCGATCCATTTCGTACAAAGACTTCTATGTATGAAACTAGACAAGCTAAGATACTGGAAAATTACTCGCTAAGTTGTAGTGTCAACATCGTTTAGTCGGCTGTATTGCTGTCTAGCTTACTCCTTATTAGCAAGCGAGACGGCAACGCGCCCATGCGTGCAAGTATAGAAGTACGAGTATATATAGTATAGAAGTCTTTGATTTCGTGCTTTAAATTCAACGCATTAAGGTTCATTAATTTAGTGATTTAACAGATTTGGATAACCTAAGATGCTACTAACTGTATAAATTTAAAATATCGATTTAAAAACGGTACTTATAAATAACCAAATTTTACTTATAAAAAGAAAACATAGTTTCGTATCATAATACAAGTAGATTGTTTCTTTCCTCAACAAACTGATATACATATTTGATATATTATTATCAATGTAAGTATACATGAACATGACACAAACAACATACGAGACTTCTGAATGAATGAAAACTATGATAATAAAAAAATGTTAGACACGCATTTCCACTATAAATACAGTACAGTCAGCAGCACATCGTGTTATACAAAATAATCATTATTCTCATTTTTGCAGTATTTATCAAATAATAAATCTTAATTATCATTTCCTAGATAGCTTCTTTCATAATTGTCGCTCAGCCGTTATCTCGAAATTCATTTTAGAGATGTGCCGAATATTAGTTTAGTATTCGGTATCTTTTTCACTATTGTATTCAGCAGAGTTATTCGGTTTTAATGTAGAATATATTCGGTTCGAGTATTTCTATTTTTTTGGCTACACGACATGGTACTAAAAGACAAAACTTCTAATGTAAAATTTGTTATATAATCCTATAAACAATGTGATAAATAAATCTAATAGAATAAAGAAATAAACTTCAAATCAACATTTGTGTTTAAACCTTTTAACGCGGCAAAATAGTGAAAAATAAATACCGAATATCCGGTTCTCCGATTAAACCGATAAGTATTCGGTTAATCGGTGAAACCCCTTTTCAGTGCAACTCCCAAATCACACAGTCTATCCATCTTTTCCAAAACAACGAAGACACTACAACATTCAAACCCGGGACAATGTAGAAAAGTTACGATATCTACGACAACCCGACGAGAAATCGAACCCGACACCTCAGAGATGACACCTTAAAACTGGCGTGTGATAACAATCTTTTAATGTATAAGTATTGTTACTTTGTTGCATCTCCAAATGCAAGAGTAGATAATGTAAAAACATATATTATATGACATAGCTTAAGCTAATGATAACGCAAGACCAATGGGGGGGGGGGTTCCATGTGTTTTCGTTGGCTTGTCATGGCGATTTAAGTGATATATGCTTTGCTTGGGAGATTTTAAAATATAATTTGATAATGCACTGGCGTTATCATAAACTTAATAATTTCGTATCACTAAAGAACATCCACGAAAAGATCATTCCGATATGTTCATAGGATTTCATTTATCATATTACCATCCCCACTGCAGGGGCTTCGGCTTTCCTTATGGATGGTTAAGGAGAATAGGCCACATGGACCTCTACGCTGGCCCAATGCATATTGGAAGTTATTAACGACCGTAAAGGCAGCTATGGCCAACGGCTTATCGGAGTAGCTCGAAGTAATATTTTTTTTTGGTCAGCCAACCTGTTTCCCGAGAAATTGATCAACAACAACACCGAGCTATAGGATTTTATACATCACGCAAGAACAGAACATTTATCAAGTTTACACAATGCTGAGGTCCTACTGTTTGTCCACGAACGAAATTTCGAATCGTTCTTATTCTTCCATTGCATCATAAATTATCGAAAAATGCGTTTCTTTGGAGTCATATTAGCGTTTCGATTATAGGTGAAATTTGGTTTTCGCATAAACGGAGTAAGCCTTCTGTTGACTGATTGAGTTTCTTGGTACACATGTAAGTTGACAGCAATGTAAATAAGTGGATTTTAGACACGCTAGGCCTTTTGTAGAAGTCGTAAATATATTTTTTTTAAAAATAGGCGAACTTGGAGATTCCCCGAAAAAAAGCACTGAAAATATTTTTTACTTATAAATTACTAGAAAATTTATTAAAGTCTGTGGTTTTTACTAGTTCTTGGCGGTTTATGGGGTGTTAATTCTCCTGTTCCAAGATTAAACTTATTGTTAACATTATTCCATATTCAAATTGAATCCCACATCAATAGATGATGGAGTGATAATAAAATTTGCATTAAGCATAAACAAATGTATGTATTTTATATAACTTTGTTTTTGGTGAATATAAATACAAAAGTTCGTATAAATATAGTTATACATGGTATTACATTTTTGGTCACCTATCTGATAAACGTCATTTGAGATAGTTGTTTAACCTCCCCCATAGTCGACCAAACGCGCTAATTCACCTTGCCATCAATCTTTTATTAATTATTAATAACGGATACTATTTATTACCATTTTGCCTGTGCAGAGCTTGCCAAAGCGATTCTTTATCATTTTCATTCTCATGGGTTGGCTGCGGGGAGGACTGCGTTGATCGCGCTGATTGCGTCTCTTCAGGGTCGTCCTTCATCGGAAAATAAAAGAAATCAACGAATAATTTACATATAAAACTATATTCTAATAAATTCTAGCAGACTAAACTATAAAATCCACTTTCTGTTAAGTCTTTTAAATACAATTACCTGCGACATTTGAGAGATATCCATTTGTAATCTATCCGGATCTGAGCAACTACTACTTTGACTGCATTCTTCATATACGGACGAGTTATCTTTAGCGATTTTCGCTTTTCCTGATGTTGATCTTCCAAAACCTGACTGCTTGCTGTATTCCTCCGCATAATTTGACGAATTACTCTGGCTTAAGTTTGTGTTATGGAAATATGAATTTGTATTACGGTCCGAGTTCTCGGTTTGATCAGAAGGTTCGTTTTTGACTGTTCCGTATAACGAAAGATCCATTTCTTTATTGTCATGGTCATCATTACTACTGGGGCTCGGAGCATTCTGTGACGCATTGTACATATTGTATTGATCTTCTTGATAATCGTGCGTATAGTTTACATCGCCGGAATTGAGAGAGTGTGTTCTATCTATGACACTAGTGTAGTTTGGCGGGAACTTTTGTGACTCTTCGTTTTCCCGCTGTGCTACTGCAACAGCTTTAGTTATTATGTCGATTACGGCGTTGCAATGCATCACTTCCCTCGCCCGCTCTGGAGGTGGTATTGTTGGTACGCTTTTGAACATTATATGGGGCTCGTCCTCAGCTTTGATTGCGTATTTCGTGGGATCATTGTGTTTGATTGACAATAATGCGACCGCCGCTTGTCTACTCTCCGAATTTTTCAACTCCTCGGTAGAGTCAGGCGAGCCCATCTCTTCATATTTGTGTTTGATTTCGTGCTCGTACGCGCTGTGATCGAGTGGTTTGATAATTTCTTCTAATTTTGCTGTCGTTACGTTAAGGATCTCCTGAAAACAAAAGACATATTTATAATTTTATAGAACAACGTTACATGCACGATAACAAAGACGTCAGCCAATGAGGCGTTCGCTCATTTCTTGTCACTCGTGATATCCGTAGCCTCCTAGTCGATAAGATAACAGCATACAGGTTCTATGATATTAATGCAGTATCTTTTCCATTTCAAAGAAAAATGTACTATTCACTAGCGAGCGCTGTAAGTATAATGCGCCTGACAGTACAAACATTAGTTGCGAGTTAAGTGCGTTTTTATCATTTATTTCATATGACAAATATATTTTTTGTAGGTGTTATTGTTTGTATGCATCCTAGTTTCATCGTGTTACGCACAAGATGTCGATAACACAAAAACTTGTGACATTACCAAGCGTGACGACATCAACCTAACAGTAAATTGTTCAAGAAGAAATTTCGACAGTATTCCAAAATGGCCATTGGAAATAAATCAAATAGACAAAGGTAAATTTCTTATTAACCACTTTTATACAAAAAAAAAATGAACAGACATAATGTTTCCGAACAACGATAGTCTTTTATAGTTAAGGCCAAATACGTCGGCGAAAGCAGGGTTCGATTCAATCATTGAATTAAAAAAAATCATATACTTATCGTTTTTTTTTTTTAAATTTAGACCTAGTTGTTTTGAAGCAATGTGTCAAAACTATTTATCTTGAATTTATAAGAAACAAAACCTTTTATAAAATAACTTTTTCTAATTTACCAAAAAAAAAAAACAATTAAAAAAATTATTAACCGCCCGACTTCAATGTTTCGTGAAAAATTTTACAACTTTTATAAAAGTAGCTTTTTCACTATTTTTTTAAGTTGTTATTTCATTATTTTTAAAAACGAGGACCAACTTTGGTACCAAGTTTAAACCAATCATCCTACCAAAATAAATCAACAAGTTTCAACTTGACGTTATCTCTATGTCGTCGTCAATTTGCTTTATGGTTTAAATCAAGTGCTAACTTTGGTCTTCCTTTTATAATAAGACGGCTGAAGTTTATTTAACACTATGTCATGTAGCGTTATCAATATCAATAAGTGTTCGCCAGAATCATCTTCAACATGTTATGACAATGATTAATCGAAAATTGTTTTCCTAAAGATAATGCAACAACTTTATAGGGCAATCGACATGCATGGGTAATACCGCAAGATAATAATTATCTGTAAAAACATATATGCAGCAATGTCTTATCGCTTAAAATGCGATTTACGCTATCAATTTAATAGAAATTAAAAAAGGTAAACAGGACCATAACAAATGCACAAATAAATTGGATAGTAATATTTGTGAAAAGAATTGTAGACGTGTCAGTCTTTATATTTTCAGAGCGCATTAATATTTAATCGACGAAACTTATACAGTTCTTTGAATGTTAAATAAAAACTTGTGTTTTTTATTAATATGGGTCAATTTACATATATCGTTTATAACCTTGGGAAGCCGCTTTTAACCTGATGGAAAAAAAGAAGGGCGTAATAAGAATAGCCGAAAAAGGGAAACTGCAGAATCATAGCGCGCAAACAGACTTAAAAATTTAACACTAGGTTACCAACAAGATCTTATCAAAAAAGTAGGATGAAATTCTAGTAAAATAGGTAATAGATAGTTCATTGGAATAACTCTCCATCGCGAGATTGTAGCACAATTTTAATGACAAGTAACACTAAAATAAATTCGGAAACCAATTCACAATATAGATTGTAAATTGAAGCAACATAAAACAACGGTAGTCTTTTATTCCTTCAATAACATTAAAATCGTAGTGCAACACTTGTACTGTGCTGTACCGTTCCAGATGGGCACGTGCTGATAACATTCTTCAACAACAGCATAACAAACGTGACAGAGGTGCCGGCGATCCCCGGCAGCCGTATCGCCATTAGCTTCAAGCACAACAGGATCATAGAGATCGAGAACGACGCATTCAAGAATTTGGAGCGGCTGGTTTATTTGGATCTAAGCAAAAATAAAATATCAGGTACTGACAAAAATTTAATCCGATATGATTCAGATCCAACCATAGCGAAAATGTCAAATTTGTCCAGCACTTTTTCCCTACATTCTCTATTAGTAATTAGTAATTTCTATATTGTTCACGCAATCTACAAACTTATTAGGCGAAAAAAATATTATTGCAAATATTTTTTATCCTTTCATAAAGATGCATAAATTTTATGCCCAAATTTGTCCTGTGCTTTTGATAAACGTTGCATTCATAATGCTGAATTGATATTTGCCTTATAGAAAAATAAACATATTAATGGGAAATCGTCGTAAGACAAATATTATATTCGCAATCTGAAAATCATTGAAAGCATAATTAAACGGTAGGATCTAGTTACTGATCGCATACGTTACTGCCGCTTTCATGATTTCCTGTTGGACATCTCGCTAGATAATATTATGGTAGGCTAATATGAACTAGGCTTAGAATTATGATAAGCTACTTTTTTTTTGGAGAACAGCAATCTGAACAAGTGACCGTCCGCAGCAAATGCAATTAAACGGACACATTACATATCGCATGATGAGGTTAATGACAGACGGATATGAATTCCAACAGAGGTTTACGATTTACTAGGTTGCCTGAGGTAGAACGGTCGTTAATTAATCACATTCAGTTACATCACTTTGATGACGCTGGAATCCGTATTACGTATACAGAAAAAACAGGGGAAGTGTGACTCAGACTCGCCGTGGGTCCGTATAAATTAAGTTAAAATGTTTACCTCAGCAGCACAAACTAAATTTGTTTTATAGTATTTAGACAAATGAACATTACTAGTTTTCCGCCGGCGGCTTTGCCCGCGTGATCCTGTAGTATACATAAAAACCTTCCCTTTAAATCACCCTATCTATTAAAAAAACCACACCAAAATCCGTAGCGTAGTTTTTAAGATTACATAAGAATAGACAGACGGAAAACGACTTCGGTTTATACTATGTTTTGATTATATTTGATCATTTTTGCATTCACAATGCTATACAAGGGACAGAGTGCATTTTTCATTAATAAATTTATACATATTTGTATTTTTTTAAATGTGATTAATCTCAAAAATAGCTTACTACGTCTCGCTCAAACCTATTTTGGTTGAAAGTCTAAATCGAGTTACTTTTTTAGATTTTTAGCTTTTTTGTTTTACCATAAAACTGACTTTGAGGAAGAATAGTTTTACCCTATGGTTTTACCTGAATGTCATGATGAAAGGCCTATCTAAAGACAAAGAATCTGGGGAGATCCGTATTCTTTTTACCAGACTTCGGCGGCGAAGTTAAACGGATGTCATATGCCACAAGTTTGTATTGCTATGATCAGTGGCATACGACTATGCTGTCCTTTGCTCATCGCTATTATAATATAGCTATCGCTATAAAATAAATTTCTCGTTTCAAACTTTTTAGAGCGTGATTTAGCTATAGTCGAGTTTTAGTTTTTGAACTTTTAATAGTAATCGTTCAGATCAGACCATTTATTAGTACATATTATCAAAATTGAATGGTCATCAATTTTTCGAAGTGTAGACTTTTTCATGAAAAGGATGAAAGCACTTTTTTTGTAAAAGATTAAAGTACTTTTTTGCAAGAAATCACTGATATTTGAGTTGATATTGTATTTCCACTGGGGCTCATTGGTTGTGCTAGACTCTGCGAACCCCATACATATGCTCTCAAACCACTAGGGGGATAATGATGAATGAATGAATATATACTCTGTTGCATAGTAAGACATTAACATAAAAACTTAATATAACATAATGACAATATAATCAAAACTAAAATAATTTAAATTATCCATGTTCCAGGGGATGTATTGAGAACAGAAATACTTCGTGGTTCATACAATAATAACATATACAATAACATCGCTTTGGAGACCCTGAATCTTGCTCACAACGAGATACATTCGCTGGACAGATATCTTTTCCAGCATACGCCGAATCTGACTCGCCTATATTTGAACAATAATCCCATTGAGATACTCGACCACGTCACTGTCCTTGCAATATCGAGCGCTACAAATTTAGAGGTAACATATTCTAAATTGTATACTTTATTAATAGTTACGATTTGTGTGCATAGAAAAAATATAAAAACAATTCAGCTAAAGAAGCGTGAGTCATATTGAAACGCTTCGTATTTACTTTTGCATGTTGAACAGTTTTACACACCCAAGAGTGATTTATTGTACCACTGAGAGATAATATTAAGATTGTACATTTAAGAATTATAGAAACAATATAGTCAAACAGGAATGTACTCGTAATATCAGCGACAGAGTAGGTATTTCATTATGAAATACCTACGTAATGATTGTGTTGTGTTATGTGAATTATTTTTAAAGGAAAAGTAATAAAATCAAGTTGATTATCATATAGATTGAAATTTTGTTTTGCAAATCATGTGCTAGGAAATATTACACACTGGCACCTAACCGTGCTCTCCTGATACAAAAAGAATTATGGCATATATGTTTATAAGAAGGAATTTCTTTTCCCCACGAAAGTCTTATTTCGTTCAACTTTGACTTCATTTTTTTTTAGTAGTAACGAGTATTTCTAGCTTTTTTATTGTTAAGAGACTAGAAATGGAATAGCTATATCTGATAGCTTGATATTTAGCGGCTCGACCACAAGAAGATGAAAAATATTTGAATAGTAGCTTCAAAGTCGAGAGTCGATCATATCACCAGTCCCATGTATTAATTGCAGTAATATATGTTTGAAAATAGCTATTTATAATAATTAAAGATTAACATTGCCTTTGCCGTACACAATTATAAAATACCGGCAAGGAAAACGATACGTTTTCATTAAACTGAATTCAACAGATAACTTTTTAGTGTTATTTACACTCAGATTGAACGAATTTACTGTTTTGTGCTATGCACCCGTAATTTTTTTTTTTTAAAGAACTGTCCAAGTATTCCGTAATTTTTAAACCATCGACTTTTAATTCGTATTCCTGTAATCTACAAAGACATAACAATAATTTATTTTTTCAATTTAAGACCCAGTAGTTTCGGATGCAATTAGTTGTGACAAACTGACGAATGCGAGTGAAAATCTTATGAGGGTATTGTTTTCTTTTTTTTAATACGATACCCCAATAACATAGAGATAGCAATTTAGGAGTGTGAAATAAATACAATTAAATTTAAATCTCGTGCATATCGAAATCAAATTGATACATGAACAAAGTGTTAAAACAGATGAAAAAGGCTAAACGTCCTTAAATAAGAAGAAACTGGCTGCTGATAACTAAAATTGTGATGAACAAAGGCTTATTGTCCATTTTAAATCGATCGCAATATATTTGAACTTGCCATTTGAAATATCGAAAAAGAAAGATGAAGTTCACGCTACAACTATTTGACATGTGATAGCAATTGTGATCGTGATGTTTTTTGAGAGATATTGTATTAACGATATCGCAAATTTAATGTTAATTGGAAATTGTCTAAATCAAGTGGTAGTCGTAAATATTACTTTTAAGTTTAAATTACCAATTTTTTTATTGGCTCTTAATTATTCAAATCATCATTTATCCCAAAAACCATTGCAATTTTGATCATGACTCTATGAATGTTGATTTCAAAAAACGCTCTACCTTTGAAAAGGATCCCGATAGATTTAAATATTAGTCAATAAGGCTACAGTACATAATTCACAATGACTATTTGTTGCTATACAATTGATCACGTTATATCTGTGTTTTAGGTTCTAGATTTGTCGCAGACGGAGATAGACAATATACCGGTGGAAACTTTCAAAAGTCTTAAGAAGTTACAGCAGCTCGACTTGTCTGGCAACAAGTTCACTATGGTACCCGAAAGCTTGAGTCTCATCGGCATTAGTCTTAAGTTTCTGTCTTTCAACAATAATCCTATCGCGGAATTAAACGACGACAGCTTCATTGGTAAGTACAAGTATCATATGACCCAAACTTGCAAGTTATTTCTTGATCGGGTTAATAAAAAATATTGCTTAAACTAAACATCCAATAAAATGTTGCAAATGAAAATGCATTCCAATGAATGAAGAGATAAAATACGATTGAATTCCAATAAGTGAAAATATCAACATCTATAATACCTATCCATATTTTCTTAGGTTTGACCAACTTGATAGAACTTGAAGTGGCTGAAAACAGCTATCTGGACGAGGTGAAACGAAGCACATTCTCTCCGCTCAAGAACTTGAGAGTACTTCACTTGTGCCACAATCGAAATCTCAGATACATAAGCCATAACGCTTTCAGGGGCTTAAAAGATAAGTGGACATTGAAAGAAGTAAGTGTGGAATATTTTCAGAAATATAAGTATTTTCCCGCGACTTCGCCCGCGTAAATTACAACTACGCGTATAATGTGGCGTCCCGTAGGTGAAAGAATTTTAATTATCGAATCAGTATTTCCAAAGATTACCTCCTACAAACAAACAAAATTAGGAACTTAACATTTTTATAAATAACATTATTATATTTTTTTTTTCATATATTTTTTATGGTTTTATTTTATGTATTGATCTGGTAACGTTATTTATGTTATTTATAAATATCGCTACTTCTATTAGAGCTGGTGAGTTTCTTTTGTTCGTTCTTCTTATCAGCCAAAAGACATCGTGAATGAGTATGTCTTCTGGCTTTGGTGGGTAAAAAAAATATATTGGAGAATTCATAATAAGTTTTAAAAATATTTTAACTTTGACTTATTGAAAACGAAGACATCACAAGCTCTAATATGAATTAAAAAACGGGTGTATACAACCACAGATATGGGTTAATTCCGTTGGGTTCAAAGTGGATTGGTGTCTGCACAAAAATCATACGATGCAAATAGGTACACCTGGGATCAAACGGCGTGTCTTTTGAACGAGGAGCTCGATATGATAACATTTTCGATACCATTTGATTATTGATTGATTAGCCTCTGTTATCGAAAACTGAATGCGCTAACCACTGCGCCATCGAGCTCCTTTGTATCATAATATTAGATTTACATGAAATAGCGCTCAACTTAAAGTTTTCTAATTATTTTTTAACGTATACAGTCTACATCTATACTATTATTATAAAGAGGAAAGATTTGTTTGTTTGCAACGAATAGGCTCCGAAACTACAGGACCGATTTTAAAAATTCTTTCACCTACGGATAGCTTCATTACACGGGGTTGGCATACGCTTTAATTTACGTAGGCGAAGTCGCGGGAAAACGGCTAGTATGTAATAAAATTTTTAATTTTTTCTTTAGACAGTAAAAAAGTAGACCATTTTTACTTGTTATTATAAAGATAAAAGAATTGTTTGTTTGCACTAAATAGGCTCTAAAACTACTGGAATAATTTTTAAAAGTCATTCACCCACAGGAATCCCCATCATACACGAGTTACTTATGTTAAAATTTACGCGTGCGAAGTCGCGAGAAAACAACTACATAGTATAAAATATATCGGAAATTGTTGGAATATTTAATTCACAAAATACTCATACAGCAATGAAGTCTCTAAGCGATTGTGAAGATCAGTTACACTATTGACTTTTTTTTTATTAATACATCTTCATTTCAAAACCAGATTGTGTCATTTAGTTTACAAGGTGTATAATCAAATCACTAATAAATAAATTAGATAGCAATCACATGTGCAACTACTTAACATGGCCCAGATAATACTTGCTTACAGTGCAATTACTAATTGAGGTCAGCTGATTAACAATTTCATTGTGTTTAGATATTAATCATCCGTAGATTGCAAAATTCATCCCAAAAGTGGAACAAATGCCAAAACCTAATTGTGAAATGAATCCGATACAATGAATTGAGTTTATTGGATTTAATAAATATAATATGCATTGGATTAATAATAAATATGATAATATTAGATTGGATTCTCAAAAGAAATCGTTATAGTTATTTACTTAATATATATTATTTGAAAAAATATATATTCTACAGCATATTTTATTTTTTAAATGTCTTTAGATACCAAGAATATGATGTGTTACAGTAGTGAACTTTGTTTAATAAAATATAATTAAATAAATTTATATAAATAGGTATATCTGGATGACAATGACTTAAGTGAAATATCACCGGATCTAATGCCATGGGACAAGTTAGATACTTTGGGCATGACTGGCAATAGCTGGTTATGTAACTGCGATCTTGCTGATGTTGTCACACGTCAGGGAGCTGGGCACAAGTTTAAAACTGGTGAAATTCCATTGTAAGTAATATATATTGTTAGTGCAATATATGCTCATATTAATAGTTCAATTTATGCATAATACCTTAATACCTTTACATTTAATATGTCATGTGGAAGAATTTTAGGATTTATCTGAAATCTTTTGATACAATAATATTGTCAATTAAATGAGCATATTTTCATTAATCTTACAAGGACTCTATATACAAAAAAATATTACAAATTGTTATGTCATCATAAAAATATTGACAAGATCTAAAAAAATATTTTCTTTCCATTACATTCATAACATTCATGCAAAACAGTCATTATCCTTAGGAAAAAAGTTATTATGGAAATCCTATAAAGTAGGTTAAACCTACATATGGCACAATGTACAAAAGTTTAATTTTTAATTGATCTAACAGATACCCAAATCTGTAATATTGGATGATGTTGAGATAAACTATTCACTTTAATTTAAATGAATTATACATTCTAATCTAAAAATATCATAACTATTTTTACTTCATTCAGTTATTTAATATTGTTTTCAGCTGTGCTGCACCTCTAAGACTTAGTGGGGAATATATCACAAACATTACATTATCATTTTGTCCAACATTTGATAAAACATTTTCTAACAAAAAAAGATTTAGTATCACAAGCCTGAAGCCGAAACAAGTACTATGGAGCATATTCGGTGTGGCAATAGTAGTCTGCATAGGAATAGCAATCGGTTGGATGGTTAAGGGTATCAAATCAATTTATAAGAAAAAAATAAGAAACCAACCTGTTCCCTACATAAACTTAAACTCCAATTCTTATGCCTAATCAAGGGAATTAACAATAATTTAGTGTTCAGAATAACACCTGTTATTGTAAAGTATTATATTCTTTATTAAATGTAATGTAGTAGTGTATAATTCTCTAATAAATAACTTAAGTTTTAATATATTTTAATTTCTTGTTCTTACCTCTTTTGGTCCAGACAATGAGTTTGCATACTGCAGAAATTGTTCTAAAAGCCTTTCTGATTTGTGTGTTAATTCTCTGAATGTGTGAAATTCATCCAACTTGTGTGCACAACTACCACACACCACTTGTGGCAACAAATCTCCAGGATATACCTAAAACATTAAATAAAGTTCTAATTTCACAAGATCATACTCATAAGTTAATGTGCCTGGTGACCTTTTGTAAGTATAATCATAGATGATGACTCATTATTATAAATCTGATAATAACATTCAGCATCTGAGACAAAGAGTCACTGTTATCTTTTATATGTAAACCAAAAGTTAGACAAGGGTGAGTGGGTCCCCCTGCAGATTGATACCCTTAAAATATACTTCTATATTTAGAAAATATTGAAATCTCAAAATAGCAGTGTTTAATGTGGATAAGTAAAGTGCTCCCTGCATTAGTATCAGAATAGGATACGTGTGTGGGGCGGGGGAGTGCGGCGAGGAAGAGCGAAGGAGCCGCAGGAGGCGGGGCGGAGTGGTCTCCGTGCGGTCCTTTGTTATCAGCAACACTGCTACGGCCGAGATACCGCGCTCGGACACCACACACACCCTATCACTTCCCAGAATGACATTAGTCATACACTCGAACACTCGGAGCGTGGGCCGTAATATGATATCACAATGCGAAAATACCCAACACCCGCGAGAAAGTTAATGGCGCTTATCAGCATCCACAATCTCATACGCTTACGCTAAACTTTCACACGAGAAAACAGCATCTTCCTGTGGGTCAACTAACGAAATAATTAAAGATCATTACCATTATCGATAAATATGTCATAATCATATCAGACAGTCGTGATTTCTCCTTATCACGGTCGAAAATTGGAAGTTTAACATCACTGCAATTATCGCCACAGAATGATAAACAAAGGCGACACACTGAATGGAACTTCGGCGGCAAATTACACATATTTAGAAATTAAAATAGAGAAAGGCGGTCACAACGAAAGAAAACATTTAGAAATGAATCGAGTAACTGATATAAAATTAAAAGGTTTTGATGAAAATATAACTCAGCATGCGATGATAGAATACATCACATCGCGATTGTCAACCAAACGAACGAACAAGCTACGCACACATACAAACACGCATTGTTTACGCTATGTTGATTATGCATTTGTATGCTCAGGTTTGTTTTCGTTTACTTACTGATAATGTGATAACATTATCAGTTTTTATCAAATGTATAATGATATCATAAATAAGGTTAAATTGTTCTGTTCAAAGATTATAACTTAATCTATCACACATACACAGTTCATTACGATGTATTTAATTAAGAAAAAACGAAAAACGTATGAATATTAAATCACTAAGATGAGATATTGTTTATAATGATTATCTTTCATCACAAACTTATTAATACATCTTCATCATCAACTGGATTCTTTAAATCAACCTACACCTTGTTCTGGTGCTATCATCTTTAAGATAGATCATTATTTATAAATTGTCAAACTAAATATTACATATCTCTGGTTGTATTAATACCTAATTTTTAAGGGATGGAAATATTACAGAGATTTAAAAAAAATGTAGGAAGTTTTAAATACACATTTGCGTGATTGTAATTTTATCTTTTGTGTATTATAATCAGATTTGTAACGATGTAACAAACAGTGTGTTTTCATTGCTACAATATACATGCGTCCATTATATTTCACTCTTGGCAACATTCAATTTAAAAATGTCAAGCAAACATATCCTAAACGCGAATGTCAAATAACTAGTCTTTAGTACTCTTTGGTGTGGCGCAATGAGTCAAAGACTACAATATTATCAATGAGTTATGTTATCTCAAATAACTATCCCACATACTATATCATTATTTATATATCATTAAAAAGACTTTCTTTTTTTCCTGCGAATACAGAATTTGGAGAACTTTTATACAAACTTTATACTTTATTTTTATGAACATCTTAATACTACATCGTGGAATACAATCTATACTAATTATTATAAATGCGAAAGTAACTCTGTCTGTCTGTTACATAATCACGCCTAAACCACTGAACCAATTTGCATGAAATTTGGTATGGAGATATTTTGATACGCAAGAAAGGACATAGGCTACTTTTTACCGCGGTAAAAACACGCATTCCCACGGGAAAATAATCTAAACATATATAACTCAAAGGTGACTGACTGATATAGTGATCTATCAACGCACAGCCCAAACCACTGGACGGATCGGGCTGAAATTTGGCATACAGGTAGATGTTATGACGTAGGCATCCGCCAAAAAAGGATTTTGATCAATTCTATCCCCAAGGGGATAAAATTTTGTATGAGATTTTGTCAATTTTAAACCGATCGGGCTGAGATTTTGTATAAATAAGGCTACTATGACGTAGGCATTCTGTAGGATGAAAGTTTGTATGAAACTTTGTCAATTTTAAGGGCTGAGACTTTGCATGCATAAAGCTACTATGACGTAAGCATCCCCTAAGAAAGGATTTTGATAAATTCCACCCCTAAGGGCATAAGCTAAGAGGATAAGACTTTTTTTTCAGGTATTTTACACGATATACTTTACCACGCGGACGAAGTCGCGGGCAAAAGCTAGTAAAATATATAAAGAAATAAACTAGGATATAGCCTACGCATGGCTATATCATCATCATCAACCCTGTTACGTCTCCACTGCAGGAGCTCAGGCCTTTCTTAGGGATGCTTAAAGACGGTATTAACAGCTGCAGACGCAGCCGGACCAATGGCTTAACGTGTTTTCCGAAACACGGATAATAGAAAATAACCGAGATAATATTTTTTTGGTCACCATAGCTCTATTGATTGCGAAAGGTCGTGGTTTCAAATCCCATCGTATAGTACCAGACACAAATCGATATTTTTAAGCATTTTTTATTAAGAATATTTTCCAGTGAAACATTTCGAATGTAAAATTGATCTAATATAATAGCAACGTGTAAATATTTTTAATAATCTAGAAACCGATAGAACCATCCTCTAATTCACAATCATACTAATAACGGCAAAAAGCCGATGTAATGTGGACTATAGAGCTCAAATCATAAAGTTGCAATTGCATCAATATAATTAATGTATAATGAATATGATAGTGAACTAAACTGTTAGCTAACTAGAATTTTAGATGTCAGTAGGGGCGGCAAAAAATTAAATAGCCTACGAGCTGCAAATTTATAAATCCGCCACTGTCTATATGAGCTTCTAAACACGTGTGCTAGATTATGTTTGACAACGTATTTCTTTTAAGTTAGACATTGGATTGAAATGATACCTTTTTAGTTACATTAACTATTTTCAATTTAGGGAACAACATAAGAGAAAACTTACTAGATGACTTAAGAAAAGGACTGTTATCAGACAATAACAAAAAAAATTAACCGACTTCAAAAAAATGCAATAAAGAAGCGCGACTGAAATGAGAGCAATATTTTCACAAATTTTTATCTTCAATAAAATCGAATTATAAAGACTGGATATGCGAACATTTTTTTTTTGAGGTCGGTGCCATATATTTTTTAAGAAAAATATGATGAATGCCATACATGATATTTATTTTCTTTCATACATAGTATGGTAAGAGAAATTTTCTCTGTTAGCTCTGTTTTACTTGTTACCAATAGAAACTGTATATGTCGCAGTCAACTGGGTAAAATAGCCGATCAAGTAAGCGGCTAGCCAAGACGGTTCAACAAGACGGCTGATTTAAAAGCGGCCGGGAAGTTAATTTAGTTTTGTTATCTGTTAAAAAAAGGATTCGATATCGTAATAAACATAATAAAACAGTCGCATTGAAATACATTGATCATCTCATTTTTGATAGATGGCTCTGAAATCGTCTGAATCGCGGTATATCTCGTCTTTTTATAAACTTAGCCCACTTGCGTTGGGTATGTACGTTTGCTTCCTGTATCGGATCATACGGACCATTAACACCCAGTCGCGAATAAGCAGTTTGTTATTATTTTTATGATGAGTCCTGTATCTGTATCGATTACAAATCGTAACAAGTTTTTAAATTTTATATAACATTCACTACAACAATGTTTATTTGTTTTACTTCTAATGCTACCAATACGGTATCCCCGATGTTGTGACAGTTAATTACTTGGCTGACCTTTGTTCAGCCGTATTGGAAATCGATGCGTTCAGCTAATCGGCTGATCGATAGTCATCCTGTTAATTGAATGGCGCCAATCAATAAAGCGCTAGCCGACCAATTGATTATACCACTTGGCTGCGACATTATACACTTTTTTTGTTTCGATTTTGAGGTCAACAAAATTTTTTCATATTATTTCCCTCTTTTCAGTCGTTTCTCTATATTACGATTTTTTGAAGTCAGTTTTTGCATTTTATTTCTTCTAAAGCATGAAAGCTTTGTGAAGTGAAGAAAAGAGATAGAAATAATGTTCCTGCCATAGAGAAAAAAAACATAGTAAAATAAAATAGGATGCAGAAGAAATGACATCTGTCCAGTGCTGCCAATTTAGCATTTTTATGGCTAAATTTAGCATGTTTTCTAGTGTTTTGGCATAATTAAATTCAGTTTAGCATATAGCATATTTTTTTAGCATTTTACTGAGAGTAAAATAGCTAAAGATATTTTTCATTTTTTCTTAAAAAATATGCTATATATGTCTGAACACAACCTAAGAGTGTTCGTAGATTTATAGTCATAGAGTAGTCTTTGGTTAGATAAATCCCGCTTGAATATAATGAGTTTTTGTTGAGGAGAATCGATGAGGTCCCTGATCAGATTTTGCGAAAAATAGGGACTAATGTAATGCTCATGCATCTACGTCATCTGCTCCATACCTACCGGCTACATCAATGGCTCACCGACGAGGGTCTTCGCAATTTATTTATAAATGCTTCTTTATAAAGATTTTTAATAAATATTCTGTTTCTCTAATAAAAGCATTTTTTAAGTATTTTCGAAAATATTTGGCATATTTTTGGCATTTTTTTAAAGCCTATTTAGCAGAAATTATTTTCTAGAGTTGGCAGCACTGCATCTGTCATCACACACATGTTCTTGTTCTTGTTGTCATCTATCAAAAAATATATATTTTTTACTTTTCTTTGTTTTATTTTTTTAGACTTTAATATTATTTGCTGTCTTCAAAGTTTGTTTAATGTATACTAATCGAGAATAAGTCCAACACTTTATAGAGGTGGATTTATGTAACTTTAATTAGAAGTCGGTATGATAATTAAGTATAGTGTAATGTTTTCGTAAATAGTGAACATTGAACATTTTCTCGGAAGAAAATGAATAACTCTAACTCATCTCTAGCTGAAGGCAATAGTGAAACAACTTGTGACACAGCTCAACTAATTAGTAATGATGAAGCAAGTACTTCTAACTATGGCCAACTGAACAATCATGAAAACTATCAGGTGAATTTGTTTGTTATATTTAAACAGTGAAGTCAATTAAATCTGCCCAGTGGCGGATTATATTACATTAATTTGATAATTCTGCAACTCTTAAATTAAAACTACTGATTATGTTATAAAAGAACTAGGGATCATCGGAATCGGCCCACTATCATTATAGATAGTGTGTAACTTGCATTTGAATATTAAAAAATCAGTTGCATTGAGAACAGTAAAAATATATAATAGTAATAATAATGAAAACAGGCAGAAGGTATTCTGTAGTAAATTATTAGGTTATAGCTACTACAAATCCTTAGTTGTTTCTTTTAGATCTTCAATAATATTACATAGAATCACTAAAAGTAATGAGGTGTAAATTCTGTATTTCTTGTATTAAATACTTTCTTTAAGATAACCACTTTTAACATAAATATGTAGAGAGATACATTCTAATTTATTTACACTGTACAATAATGTAAATATGAGAGAAATAGGATATTACAAAAGATTTTGTTCAGAGTTTCTTATGTAGTAATTCATTTATTAACAGTGACAACATTAGTAAATAAATATTTTTAAATATATAAAAGTTATTTCAAATTATTCCATAGGATACAGAGGAGAATGATTTGCATGGCAGCCATGGAGTCAGACGGAGACAGCCTATACAAAAAATTGAACCGGGCTCAATGAATATTCTCTCTGCAAAATATGAAGTAAACATATCACTTACTTGTATTTACATATTTATTAAGTAGTGATCTCTTTTATAATAATAATGTATTTTTTACAGAGTCTAGATTATGATACTTGTGAAAATCATTTATTACTTGATGAAGAGAGAAAGAGGGGTTATCCATTTATAGTATGGAAGGACATGGCCAGGTGGTTTATAATCATGTTAATTGGTATGGTGACAGCACTAATTGCCTTCATCATAGATATATGCATAGAACAATTTTCAGATATTAAATATATGGAGCTTAAAAAGTGTATCCTTTATAATGTTTTGACTATAGCAAAGTTGCCGAACAGAGAGTTGGTTTTGTACAATGATCCGGCATTACATATCTTTTTCACTTGTGTGCTATTGTATTGCTATTTTATTCACATAGATTCATCAAGCCAATTTGTCAAAGTAAAGTGAAGATAAAATGTTTATCTTATGTTTTAGTATGCACAAAGGTCAATGTAAGAAACTCTTTCTGTTGTGCACTATGCTTTATTCATAAAATGTATATAGTTTAAGGTCACTTACTATATATACTTAATATTTTAAAACTAAGGTTATCTTAATGTGCCCCTTTTTGGGATTCCATAGCAAACAAGTAAAATTTCCAAAACAAAAATCTGTTAAGGTACCTCCCTTATATGTAAAGTGGAGATGATTACTTTTTTGACGTCCCCATAGTGTGGGGATTGGGCCCTTCAAATTGAGTGACATTGGGAGTGTAGGAAAGCCGTTTTTCGTAAACTAAACGTAGTAAACTGTTTGTGGATTATTAGGCTTTGAAGACCTGATTTTCGTTAGAGTCAAGTGCCCTCCGCTCTATCAACTCAAAGGTCGTTTGTAAAAATCCAAATGTAACGAAATTAAAAGGAAAACTATCACTCTTAAGTTGACTTTTCAAGTAACAGTTGAAAAATTGTATTTAACTTGAAAATTCCAAACAACTCGATAGAAAACAATAAACATGTTTATTTTTATTTATAATGGATAATGATACCGACCCCTTCTTGCGCGAGTTCAACTCGCACTTAGCCGGTCTTTTAAGACGACATTGAAATGTTTTTTTCACTGACCTTTAATCAACAATAAGTTTTTTGTAATAATATATGTCTATACATTCATTCACTTCATATCTTCACCAAATAATAATCCTGTTGATACCTAATTACAATGTTTGATAATTTTCCTGAACAAATTAAAACAGTTGTTGATAAATATGTACTGATGGACAAATTATATATTCCCTATTTGTTATGGGTGTTATCAAATGTCTGCATTGTATTTATTGGATCAGTTCTAGTCGCCTATGTAGAGGTAAGTGTTAATTATGTATTTCTTTGTCAATATGAATGTTAATTGTCATGAGACAGATAAAAAGTTTATTTACTATAATAATTAAGTAGGACAATTTCATCACCAACCACATGTTAAGGACACTTCAGAGTTTTCTATATAGGTGTATGATGTGCAAGATTTTAGCGTATACCTATTTGATATAATAATTCGGATTATGAACTGACTTCTATACATTTTATTAAACAAAGTCGCTTCCCACTATTTGAACCCTGAGATCATTTAAAGTATTTGTGTACTTTAAAATTTTAATTCAGTTTGGATCCATATACTGAGTGATTCAGGACCATACGGGCGATAGCTAGTTATATATATAAATTCAACTCTTAAGTATATTTTAGCTAAAGTCTATTAACTATTCCTCATAAAGGAGAATGGGCAGAAGTCGGCCAAAATTGCAAAATATTGCGCAAACCCATTTATTTATTAAAAATAGTGTCTTATGATTTATTCTATTTTAAATACTATTAAAAAATTATGAAGCTTTTAAAATTACACCTTTTAATTATGATTAATTTTATTGCTCTTACAGCTAGTTGCACAAATGTTCATTGAAATTTTCATTATGCTAAAGTGACATTACCTATACAAATATGACATTTATTATAACTTAAAGGCGTCATTGAACCTTAATGAACGTTTGTGCAACTGACCGTATAATACGTAGATATTATAACGATATAATTTCAAAATGCCTGTTAAATGTTCAGATATTCTCATACTCCCACATAATTTTGAAAAGGTTTTTTCCCACATATTCTAGAAATAATCCTCTATAGTTTATTGTTACTTTCAACAACGTACACAGTAACACAAAAATAGCCGAACTCTCATAGTAAATTGCCCATTCTCCTTTCTATTGGGGGATTTTTTTATAACTTCTTGTCATGAATATGATTTATTATTTATGTAAATATAATTGAATATTGTGTTCTAGCCTGTAGCAGCTGGTAGTGGTATTCCACAAGTGAAATGTTACTTAAATGGTGTGAAGGTGCCACGGGTAGTTCGTATAAAAACTTTACTTGTGAAAACTGTGGGCGTCATCACTGCAGTAGTTGGTGGATTGGCAGGAGGAAAGGCAAGTTAATTCTTTGTTTGCTAGTTGTGATCTACACATTATACCAACACATATTTAATAGATATTAAGTATTGTAGTAATATATAACATTAGCCAGGACTTTCATAATAATTATGTATACTTCTATGCATTTACCTTAATCAAATGTTAGCAATAAGTAATCTTTGTATTGAATATTGAATTTATTTATTTATTGTTGTATACTGATATAATAAGTTATTCTAATCTGTTTGAAAAAGTTCATGCAACTGTTGATTTAAATTTATAGATATGATATAAAAATCGGAAAAACGTTTACTTTTCTCAAACTCAAGTCAAAATTTAAACTTCTATAAATGTAAAAAGACTGTCCATTATCGTCATGACATCATTTCGTAATGTACACAGAACAAACTCATACAATGTTAAATAACAAGGTATTACAAGCGTTGGAGTAAATTTGCTGTTAAATAAACAAGGTCTAGCATTGGAGTAAATTTCCGCGGAAACCAACTTCAAAATTTATATTATTAAACAGAGACTTAGCAAAGGTTAAGCTAATACGAGGTTCTACGGGAGTAATATTTACTTCTAAGGTAAAGTAGGTTTGCTTATTTTATGTATAATATGAATATAGACTAATATTAAAATTGCAATTTTTAATAAAATAAATTTACTCTGACGCTAAACTTTGTTTATTAATAGCACTGACAGAGTACATCATTTAATATATTAAAAGATATCATTCAGATTAGAAAGTGACATTTTAGATCTTGCTACAGAATAAAAAGATAAATAGGGCAAGAACAACGCCATCTAGAAATCTGCTATAAAATAAATAGACAGTTAATCTGACGTTTTTACCGATTCCACGTCACACGGTATCACACAAGTCACAAGTAAAAATCAATGTTTATTTAATATTAATTTAGTTTTGTTCGAAATATTATAATTTGTATGTAAATGTTTATAGTTTAAGATGTTACATAGAGGTTTCTTTTACAGGAAGGCCCAATGATACACAGTGGTGCTGTAGTAGCAGCTGGCATATCACAGGGCAAGAGCACCACCCTCAACAGAGATTTCAAAATATTCCAGTATTTCCGCGAAGATCATGAAAAGAGAGACTTTGTATCTGCAGGAGCTGCTGCGGGTGTGTCTGCAGCTTTCGGCGCTCCCATAGGTTAGAATCACTACATAGTATAAAACAAAGTCGCTTTCTCTGTCCCTATATCCATATGTATGCTTAAATATTTAAAACTACCCAACGGATTTGATGCAGTTTTTTTTTCATTGATAGGGTGATTCAAAAGGAAGGTTTTTAGGTATAATACAAGTCCACACAGGCGAAGCCGCTAGCGGAAAGCTAATGAGACAAGAAATTAAGAAAATAATAATCGTAAACATATTTTCATCTTAGTCGAAAGTTCAAAAATATTTTTTATATTTTTGGTCAATTTGGCATTCACAATGCTATACAGGAAAATATTCGTAATGAAAAATGCTTTTGAAATCCACTTTGCCCCTGGCACTCTGAGACACTCTGGACTCGAACCCGTGACCTTTCGCCAGGTGACAAAGTGCCAGTAAAATATTAAGTAAAATATTCTTAATGAAAAAATACTTAAAACATACATCAGGCCTAGGTACTCTGAGTTAGGACACGAACCGACGCGCTTTTGCAATCCGGAGACTGCTCTAACCACTGAGTTACGCAGGACCTAACAGGACTGACGAATTTTCAAGCACTTGTTGCTTATCACAACTAGTGAGCGTATTTTCATTAATGTTCAGACAATCCGCCCAAAACGAAAAAGAAATATCCCAGGTGAGCATTAATACAAAAGCAAAATACAATGCTTTCAGTGGAGGTCGGGCGCAATGGATATTAGTGTAGCGGCCAATGGCGTTATACTTTAATGATTTTGATTGGCCGACATTTGGTCGCGCTTTGAAATTTTGCCTTCTGTTGTGGTACATTAGTGAGCCATATGAGTTGCAGCTTACTGTACGCAATTATGTGTATAACTCATCCTATATATTAAAGTTAACTGTTATATGAATACTTACTTTTTAGGTGGAGTGCTATTTTCATTAGAGGAAGGTACAAGTTTCTGGAATCAGGCATTAACATGGCGGACATTTTTCGGTACCGTAGTTTCTACGTTCACACTAAATGTTGCCTTGTCTGCATATCATGGTCATCCTGGAGAATTGAGCTACCCTGGTAAACATTTATTCTATTTTGATTAAAGAATACCAAGCTGTAGGATAAAATAGATAGAAATATCTTTGGAGAAAAAACTCATCTCCAATTTGTAGAAATCGCAAAGTTCATTGACCGAACTCCATCTTTGGTATTAACTAATATCGTTAAAACGGTGCCACGTACTTATTATCTATGATCTTTAACATAATTTCTTTTTTATTATTCACTTTTCGTAATTTGAAATTTTGAGTAGTGCGATATGCTCTTTCTGAATGTCAGTTCGAGAAAATTCACCCAGTGCAATCAGTTAAAAAAAAATGTATTATTTAAGATCTATTTGTATCTACAATCAGACAGAGTTTTTTTTATTTACACTATAAAATATACCAAGTTATCAAACTACGAGCTTGCGATCGAATTCGTAAGATTAAGAGCGCAAACTTTCTCGAGACTGCTGTCCCACCACGGTATTAGACATGATTTTTTTCAAATATTTTTAAGAATAACTGCAATAATGATATATTTTTTAGTTGTGGCTGTCCAACTAATACCTAATAAATTAAATGTTATTAAAATATTTTTAGGTCTCTTAAATTTGGGAAAGATGGAACCATTTCCATTTCAATTCTATGAGCTGCCCGTTTTTATATTGTTTGGGGGTATTGGCGGCTTTCTGGGCGCCTTGTGGAATTATATAAATTACAAGCTTGCTGTTTTTCGAATAAGGTATGTTTTTCTATGCTATAATTAAAAGAGGAGTATGAATAAACCGGAAGTTGACAGTTTTTCTATTTTATTCCAACATTAAATGTAAATAAAACATGATTAAATTAGACGCAATACCCATTTATTGAAATCTGACGTCATTGTTCAAAATTAGTCACGTCACTGTGAAAGATCTCATAATCAATTCAAATTGAATCTCATTTTGTAGGTATATGTAAATTTAATGTTTTAATTATTGTATTGTAATATTGGTACTTTTTATGTTGAATGAACGTTTTGTAACAGATACATAACAGCGCCGTATTTACGTGTAATAGAAGCGTGTCTTGTGGCAGCCGCGAGTGCCACTTGTGGTTTCCTGATGATGTTTTTACTAAACGACTGCAGACCCCTTGGTGAAGACCCCACCAAAGTTCCACTTCAGGTATTTACTTAACAAGTGTTTTTTTAACAAAGACTATTGGATTGTTTGAAATTCAGTGTACAATGTCTTCGTGGTCGTGTTGGTAATGTTTTCTTATTATCCACGCATGTGTGGGTAATTAAATGTATAAGTATAAGCATTTTTTTTAATAACAGGCTCCACTTCTTGATTCTGATTAGAAAAGAAATGTAGGTATTATATAATATATTTATAGTTATCCATGGATATCATATATATTATTTATTCATTCATTTGCATATCTTCTTGACATTAGAATATAAGTTATTATTATGTTCTATCAAATGCAATGTTATTTATGTAGTAGCTAAATAAAATAATTGCGAAATTAATTTAACGGAATACACGATTAACCCTCTATATATCCAACGAAAGGCAAAGGAATATTACACGAATCTCGACGTAGATCGCGATATTAGCACATGTATTAAACAAACAAAGTTTTTCGAACATTTTGACTCTTAGAAATAAATGAATCCCTTCTTTCGTATATCTAAATAAACTGCAGTGAAAATTACGCTCTTTTTAATTATTACATTTATAAAAAATATTCCTACCATATTCACTATTTTTTTATTCTTTGCTCACCACTCTGTGAATGACGTTTATAAAAAATATATATCGCATATTATGCTAGTGCAACGTCCTGGCGACAGATAATTGCAGTAAAACCTGCTATTCGGGAGGATAAAACTGACTCGTGATCGTTATTTGTATATTAACTCCTTGGGTTCGACCGCCTAAATCTAACCATGATTCTAGACATAGGATACGACATCTTATCGATGTTATGCCGATATTTCGTTTCATTTTAGTACATTGAGATGTACTTAAGTAACAACGAATGAATAATAAAGGATGATGATTATGGATTTGGTATCAGTGTTGCCAACTTACAGCCCGTCGCACAAACGTCCAATAAAATTTTCATTAGGTTAAAGCGACATTACTCATACAATTTTGACATTCATTAGAACTTTAAGGCGTCATTAAACCTTAATGGACTTTGCAACTGACCGTTAGTCATTCATCCCAAATTTATCCACCAAAATGAAACGAAATATTGTCATAACATCGCTAAGATATGGGTATCCTGTGGCTAAAATCAAAGCTAGAGATTTAGGTGGTTGCTCTGCTGATTTGACTTCAGTGACTTCAGCAGAATACCAGTGCAATGGGTGTATCCATTGCTTACGCTGAGCTCAGTCAGTTTTGACAGCACACAACATTACACTTTAAATTCTTGTATGTACTAATTGTTAATTGTTTTGTTTGGGTTGTGTTGTGTGTTGGCAAAATAAATACTTTATTATTATTATTATTTGGTAGTTGTTCTGCGCGGACGGCGAATACAACGCAATGGCGGCGATCTGGTTCCAAACGCCGGAGGCTTCGGTGCGGTCGTTCCTGCACGATCCGATCGGCTCGTACCAGCCGGGCTCGATGCTAGCGTTCGTGGCTTGTTACTTCCTGCTGTCCACGTGGACGTTCGGTCTCGCCGTATCCAGCGGTCTGTTCATACCTAACTTGCTAACCGGCGCTGCTTGGGGGAGATTACTAGCCATAGCTATGCAGGCTATGTTACCGTCCTATGTAAGTACTCTTTGATTCACTGTTCCATATTAACCCATATATGCTCTTTGAAAATGAACTATACCCAAAACTATTTTGACTCCCGACACTTATGAATTTTAGAATGTTTGTGTTAATAGGTCTTTTGTACATGCAGAAACCAAGTCGCAACTTGCACTGATTCACTACTTAACTTAAAGGTCATTTTATTATGATAGATGGGGACAGAGGATTGATTTGCCGAGTGAAATGTAGAATTTAATGTTTCGGTTTCGAATTCAGGGTATATTAACCACCACCACTACCAAATAACGAAGTAGTTGCAAGCATATATGGGTTAAGAGAAATCTAATATAGAACAGAATTACTAGAAAATAATAGACAAAATAATTCGCTTTTAAATAAATTTATTTGTGCAACTTAATAATAATAATATACAATTCGCAAATCTCATCGAATAATTTTCGATTATTTTTTAACGATTCTTAAAAATAATCGATGCTGATCAGTCATATACACGGCGACTATAATGCTATATAACCACAGTTTGACAATCGAGGAATCGATAGAAGCGCTTTGAGCATTAAACTAGAAAAAGATATTTTGACGTTACATTAAATGTGGCGACTTCTAGGAGACGCAAAGTTACAAACAATTATTTATTCTTAAATAAGTCATTGCGTTCTAATTGAGGGCTTTACTTAACTCTTTTCGAAAATGTTTACATATAAATATAATGTATACTTTATCCTAAAATTACGGACCCAAAATTATCAAAAGCCGCGTTTTACCTTTCAAAGTCACTGTTTTTATATGAATTTATTGTAGACTATAAATCCCGCAAAGTATGCGCTAATAGGCGCGGCGGCACAGCTCGGCGGCGTGGTTCGAATGACTATATCCCTTACTGTCATCATCATAGAGACTACGGGACAGATATCCAATGCGTTACCAATCATAATCACACTGGTAGTAGCTAAGTGGACTGGTGATTTCTTCAACGAGGTAAGTAATCATAATTGGTATCAGCCTATCTTTATCTTAATTTACTAATTTTCATACTCATCATCAACCCTTTTACGTCCCCACTGCAGGGGCTCAGGCCTTCCTTATGGATGGTTAAAAAGGATGGGCCACGACCCTCCACGCTGGCCCAATGTGGATTGGAGGATATTAACGACTGCAAATTCAACCGGGACCAACGGCTTAACGTGCCTTCCGAAGCACGGAGTAGCTCGAGATAATAATTTTTTGGTCACCCATCCCGTGACCGACCCTTGCGAAAGTTGCTTAACGACAACGATCGTGTGCCGCGGCGCTTATCCACTACGTCACCGAGCTACTCATTTTCATACTAATACTATAGAATAGTCTTGGGTGTAATTGCAACTGAGATCGATCAGTTTATGTCCCCACTCCTAAATGAACTAGTTCACACTTTTATCATATTCCGTTAGTTCGTGTTTCGTTTCCATCACTTCGCAGCAGAAGTAGTTTTAAAACAAAAGAACAATCTGTTTTAAATATTGATTGAAAGTTGGATTTATTATTGTGATAACTGATAATACATATTATTTTGGTAATGACATTATTTATGTAAATGTCATTAGGTACTTATGATAAAAAGCTGGTAAGATTCTTTCGCTTGTTCCTCTTGTCAGCTAAAAGACTTCCTGAACAAGTGGTAGGAAAAAAAAAAATTTGGATGATTCAAAAGTGTTTGTAATAAGCCTACTTGAATATATTTTCATTTAATTGAATTATTATAAAGCAAGTGATTTGCACGTTTTGATACTGCTCCTATTGTGACAAGATTATTGAACATTTAATAAAAAAATTTGAACACTAAAAATAGTATGAGACGAGCGATTGACAGAAAGTGTCCCGAATGTGAGTGAGAGGACTTTAGTTTTGTTGACGTCACCTTAACCCATTCTGTCACGAACTACGGAACGGGAAATGTGGATTCTAGTTCGCTAACTTCATCTGTGGGAGCGCTCTGTCGAACTAATTCGTTAGCCAACAGCAAAAGGCTACTATAGGCAGGAACCTTTTTGTATCGTATGGAGAATGGTTTATGCACTGTCCCTGCCGCTTGACAGGCGACAGGTGGTTTGAAAAATGTACCATTTAATTAAATTAAAATTGATATTGCTAATTTTTTTTATTCAATATTGATATAACTCTATTTAAGACTATTTAAATGATAAATTTTAGATGTAATTCATATTTTTAAATTTTTTTTTTTTTCATTTTTTGTTATTCTATTCAAATATTTGGACGCTATGTATAAGACATGTTATGGATGTTAGGGCATCTACGACATCCATATACAACTAGCGGCCGTACCATTGCTGCCTTGGGAGCCGCCGCCGTTGACGCATAATATATACGCGTCTGAGGTGATGTCTCACCCGGTGTTCACGCTGCGTACTGTCGAGAATGTCGGACATATCGTCGAGCTACTCAAAGTCGTGACCTACAACGGATTCCCCGTGGTAGACCCCCCATTGGCGGACGATGTAAGTGAAACGTGAAATAGTTATAGCAATAAATTATGACATATATTGGTAATGGTAACTTATGTATACGATAACTATGTTGTATTTTTTTGTTTTAAATAAGATTGTGAGTAGGTATATTTTATTATTGTAAATCAACTTGTTATTAAACACGACGACCTCCGTAGCCGAGTGGTCCGCACGCCGGTTGCAAGGTGTTGACATTTCTGAGGTCCCGGGTTCGATTCCCGGTCGAGTCAATGTAGAAAATGAACTTTTCTATAATGTCTCGGGTCTGGGTGTTGTGGTGGCTTCGTTCTTTCAGATACTTCATAATACGGGGGTTTTAGTTAGTCTTGGAATCTGAGTAATGTATGTGATGTTATTTAATATTTAATCTGAGGCAATATTTACAAGAACCGAAACGCGGATGGCTACGACGGAGCATGTTGTGATGACACATTTCAATAAAATATACGTCAACGTCTATGTTGGGAGTGCAACCATTACTTATGTTTATTGAAATGTGACGTCACGGCTCGAAATGTCATGTGATGACTGAAATCGCGGCACGATATAAATTGAAGAATAAAAACATATTTTTCCTAATTGATACTTTTCGGAGAAAATTTTATATTGTTTCCATATAAGTTACCATTTTCAATATATTTCATAATTTCTGGTTTTAACTGTCAAATAGCCAATTACTGCACCAAGAACTAAGAACATATTACAATTTATAAATTAATTCTGAAAATGAGATATAGTACAAATTATTTTGGAGCCTAATACTAATGGAAATGTAAAAAAAAACACTATTGTTATGTTTTATTTATTAGGCCGAGGTTACAACATATAAAAGGCTCCGAGGACTGATACTGCGCAGTCAGCTGATAGTTCTGCTACAAAACAAACTGTACAATGAAAATGCTAACACCACTTGGTCCAATTTCAACGTGAAAATGAACATGTTCAGAAGAGAATACCCGCGGTACACGTCAATCGATAAGGTACCCGTACGAATTAACATGACACCTGAAGGCCTATACTATCTGTCCTTGTGAACGGCCAAACGCTACTGTAAAAGACGACTCCTACCATATTTTTATGATGGTCTCAATAGACTATAGTTTACTCGCTGGAGAAAGTGTATGCAGTTTATATAACACGATTTCTATAGACGGACAGCTCCGGACAAAAATGAAAGCTTGATATTTCAGTATGTTGAAGTACTAGGCGTATACATCACCAGTATCCAGTGCAGAGGTCATGCGCTGGAACACCTGGTGGCGGTACGCACTGCAAGAGATTCAAAATAGTAAAAAAAAGTTGTAAGAAGCAGATAAAAATTACTGCTTAGACCACTCAATTGTGAAACCCTGCAGCTCAGCACGTCTCTTACGTTGTTGTGAAACTTCTCTCCGAAAAAAGTTTTGCAATAGTCTAAATTTCATTAGTTACTAATTTTTTGTAAGTAAATTAAGAAAAAAATATGCAAGCACTGTCGTGGAACGCGCCAACTCAGCACTTCTCAGAAGTTGTTGCAAAATTCAGCTCCGAGGTGATCCAGCACCTAACCTACTGGGTACTGAGTACCCTTAGTACTTCATACTCAAATATCAAGCTTTAAAAAACTTTTGTATATTTTTATCACGATCTCTAAAAGCCATTTCATTAACCTAGAATTAGGTATAGCTTAATTATAAAAATGCCTAATCTTACGAATCGTCTAAGCAAATAAGTTTACGTTGAAATGAAGCGTGGTAGATTAATATACATATTAATATACAATTAATATACAATATAAAAAATAATCATCTGAAATTCTCGAGCGCGTCAGGTTAAGATAGGGATAGGGAGTTTGCTAAAACGTGTATATTTCACTAATCTGACAATTTGAGAGCGACGTAAAGAAGGATACATTGTTGTAAAAAACACGTCATCTCGGCCTTATCGAGCCTGGCTAATCTTTTTTATTTTGAATGGAATATTTGTAGGATAGCGAAAAATAAATAAATAACGATTTCCACAAGCCAAAGTAACAATAAAGTTTAATGCGTGCAGCTATGTGATCCTTATGTTCCCCTCTCTCACTCATTTTTTTTATATAATCATATTTATTATAGTAGAATACTTTTATTTCATATAAATACAAATATTCTACTTAACCAACACGCTTTTTTTTATTTGCATGTTATTTCCTGAGCTTTCAATTAATTAAGTTCAATAGCTAAGAATGGCCGCGAAATTGGGGTTCATCCAAATCGTCAGGTCTTTTTTGATTCACTTAACATCTACTTACAAAATCTGATGTGTTCGACGAAATTTTTGAACCCTTACAAACGACCACCTCCATCATGGGAACAATCAGAAGAACATACGTAATTTTTTTAATACGTAGGACATGGATGATATCAATATTGACGCGCTCGAGTATGTGCATGCAAGTTTTTTTTTTATTTTTTTTTTTCTTTATATCATCTAAACTTCGCAACCAATTAGGTCTCTTTGACGTCCAAATAAATCCCGATTTAACATTGTGGGCCTACTATTACGCAAATCCCTGTCGCAAGCGCTGCATAGTGCATGTTATAACTAGATATTAGGCTTTGGTGAACTACAATTTCATTTTAGGCAATTCCTAAACATATGTAAATCGTACTCTATTTAGTAAATTTGTCGCCTAAATAAATAGCATTAGACTACTAGAATTTACTTAGGAATTTGCAGCATGCATGTGTTTAATGAAAAACGTTTAAAAATCCACTTTGTCCTTGGATGGCATATTATAAATAATATATTTTTATAGTTAGAAATATCAGACTGGGAGAAGACTTGCACTATAGACCTGCGACCTTACATGAATCCGTCGCCGTATACACTTCCGCATCGTGCGTCGCTGCCGCGGCTGTTCAGGTTGTTCCGAGCGCTAGGGTTAAGACATCTGCCTATAGTCAACGATGTCAACGAGGTATGTATTACAGAAAAGATCCGATTTTGAATATAAACATTTGAATATATCAATTTCAATTAATTTGTCGGATTTGTAAGGCTGTTATTAACATTGTATACACGGCTGTACGTCAGATTACCACAATATGTCTTTATTAAGGTTTAAAATCGAGTAGGGAAATTTTAAGCAGCAGCAGAATAGCTCGCGAGCTGTTCCTGAGATCCCAGGTTATTTCCTTATCTAGATCTGGGAGTTGTGGTTACTTCATTTTCGACAACAGCGCCACTACTTTGGACTGTTCGCAATGTATGCGATTCAATATATTAGGAGTTGGGAAATTTTAAGATATTGTATAAACTGACGTGCTGTTAACTTTATCTTTGTTGCATACATTGTTATACGACCTTCGTATCAGAATATCTCGTTCCTGAGATTCCAGGTTGTTTCATTATCTAGATCTGGGAGTTGTGGTTTCTTCATTTTCAACAAAAGTGCCACTACTTACTTTGGACTGTTCGCAATGTATGCGATGTTGTATAATATTGATTAATTGCTATTTGAATGTTGTTGTGTTTTATCTTCGTAGGTGGTTGGCATGGTGACCCGTAAGGACATTGCCAGATATCGTGTTTGGAGACACCGGGGACATATGGGCATGGAAGAATTGCTGCTCTCTAGTGAAATTTAAAATTATTGCCATTATATTTGCCTGATTTATCGTTGTATGTAGGCTCTGTGATCTTGTTAATTATTAATAGGTATATAATGTATACATCACCTATTGACCAGCATGGTTTTTTTACAGAAAACTAATGGCCTGTAGACTCCATGCCGTTTAATTTTTAATTTAACCTTATGATATTTTTGTGTTGTGTGAATGAGGCCTAAATTTCAACATAAACATTTTTTACTCCAGAACAATACCACAATCGTATACTATCACATCTGCAATAAAATTTTAAATTAGTGTGACGTGTTATGTAATTTTCTATGTTTACAATTTGCAGAGATTTTTACATTTTCAAAACTCAGATAAATGGTATCTCATGTTAAGTGGTTAGAATTTCGCGACATCTATTATGTTTTTACTAATAACTTCTATTAGTGGTTATTTAGATTTTTCATATAAGAAAAATGAGATTAGGGCGTGAAGGAACAGTATGACCGCTTTATATCTCTAGATATTAAATCAAATATACAACCAAAGAATGTATTCGAACGTTTAGTATTGTATTTAAAATTTGTACTTATTTTTTTGGTCAACATATGTCTTCTTTCTATCTATATCTTACCTTAATGACTTGTTCTGTTAAATGAAAATTGAGTATATCCCAACATTCCAAGGATAGCAATTAAATGATTTTATTGAGTGACTAGAAATAATTATTTATTTATTTTTAAGCTTCAATTAATCTATTGTTTAGTATTATATATTTTAGACAATGGAAACATAATCTACACGTGTTTCTGTATAGAAACAAGCTTTTTTGGTCATTATTAAAAAGGAAACTACTATTTGATTTGTGTTCAGTGTAGGTATATTTTGTAAATTAAATTAATAATTTTTTCTTATGATAAAATGTTAACTATCTCATAGTCAATTAAGTATGATATTTATATTTTTGTATGCTAAATGAATTATGATATTCAATGTGATAATATTATTTTGTTTGAATTTTTAAAAACCTATCAAACCACCTCAAACTATTTCATATGTGTACCTACTCGCATACTTTTTAGTACCTAATTTGTTCTAAATCAAAGCAGACACCTATTTTTATTATGGATCTTATTATTGATGCCAATTTGTATTAAAGCTAATATAATATTTTTAGTAAAATCAAAAATAGTTATTTTCAAAATACAATAACACATACTCTGGTAATTTTTTTACAAACATCCCCCTGATAGACGTGATCGCTATTCAAAGTAGTGAGGATTACTATAGCATAATCAATATAAAATTCACTGAAACTAGTACATTAGCTCTCATTGTTTTTCACTATGAAACAAAATCTACATACTGATGCTGGTAACCAAACATATACCTCAAAACCATGATTGTTCTACAGAGTAGAACAACATTTTGTTTTTCGAACATAAACAAATGTAATGAACAACCATGCCAACAAATCTACCTCGTGTGTTCATAAGTTTTGAGACAAACTTTTTACTGAAGAAATAAATAAAAGCTGGTTGTTATTTATTTTGTTTACCGAATTTGAAATTGGAATGTTAACTTCTTGTTTATTTGTGTCGCAAAGTCATTTGCTTAAATTTTCTCGTGATGAAGGGAACGAAACAATTACCTACGTGCAACTGTCATTTCACTATTTAAGGCGGGAAAAAACAGATGCATTTTTTAAGCGAGCTGAAAAGTTTTCCTTTAAGCCGTGTCATTATCAGAATGACATTTTAGAGCCCGTGGTGAATGAAACCCCTGTCTGATACTTTATTTCTAGTGTCCGACCGAAGGTCGATTTTTGGCCGAAACCGAAGCCGATTAATCAGCAATCGCCACAACCTTCGACAGAAGCCGAAGCCGAAGGTTTATAATCTCTCAGTAATTTATTTTGTACATATTGTCTACAAGCTACAATAATAATATTAAAATTATATCAAAACTTCAAAATTGAAGGTTTATATTGACTGTCATCTATATGAATAGAAGTTGATTTAGAGCAGTGGTGGGCAAACTTTTTTAATGGGGGGCCACAAAGTTTAAAAAATTCTAGAGGAGGGCCAGAATTATAGAAAAAATGGATTTTGTGTTAAAGCTTTTAATAATAATATTATAAAAACATTATGTGAGCATTGCAGTGCATTACACACAAATGTTACAAATTACCTTTTACCTTGAATAATAATTAATTTAACTTTTATTCGACGGCCCTGCCATGTTAGGCGTGTGAGACACATGGAATTGTTTTTGATTGAATTCACTCGCCCCCGCCACCCGCGCCGATCATTTCACCACTCTGCGCCCCGTATTACGCAAAACATGAATTACTCGGCTAGTTTAGCTTCACCTATTAGTTATGCATCTATTATTCTACCAAGTAGAATCTACTTTTGACTTCTCGACCGTCAAAACGTAATTATAGCGGGCCATATACTCTCTATGTCGATGGACCCTCGGCGGGCCGGATTAAATACTTTTGCGGGCCGGAGGTGGCCCGCGGGCCGTACTTTGCCATCACTGATTTAGAGATACACGTACGAACTTGTCTTGACGCGCATGCAATGTGATATTTGACAGAGAGGGCGCTTGTGCACTACACTGATTTTTCAGCTCCAGCGGTCCGATAAGGCAGGCCATATGTTAGGTAATTTAAGCCTGTGCACTATCAGGAATATTTTTTCTGTCTTCTACGTCTTCACACGTAGAGTAATAAAGCAAGCAATTACCGACGTTTCAAAAGTCTCATCGTACCTAGCGCAAGTGACATGCAGCTTCATTTGAAAATTCATCCTTGACAAAAACAGTACGGTGTAGGTAGAATATACTTAACGCCATCTAGTATAGTATAATTATTAAAAGTTGTTTTCTTTCGTATGTAAAATGATATGTACTTGTATATTTTCAAAAATTTATATCTAATTTTATTATTAATTAAATATACTTAAATACCAATGTTTGTCACATTATTTATGGAAATCTTTAAATAAATCTAGATCTGATTATAAATTATATCAGATCTAGATTTATTACAATGACTAATTGAATAGAAAACAGTGGTTGCTAGAGTAACATTTTGTTTCCTCATAAAAACTTTACTCTCATTTTCATGTCTTTAAGTGCCAGCACTTTTGATATATACATCATCACTCTTAAACCACAGGGTGGAATTTCCAAAAATTCTTTCACAGTACATCATAACGTAGTAAGAAGAACACATACCCTCCAAATTAAATGTCGATATACAGAAGATATCCTGATAAAGATTATGTATAGATAACATCTGATTATGTCATCATATTCATATTAACTAGGGTTGCTAACCCCAATTTTTCAATTTCAAACACTAAGATCAAAGTTTGAAAACCAAAACAATTCAGTTTAAAAACAGGACACAATTAAACTTTAAGCAATAAAAAATTGCCTCAGAGGATGCTGCATAAAAACAGAGGAACCTGCATAAAACTAACCAAAACACTATAAACAGTCATACATATCATGGTTAATCCAACCATCCTGGGTTAACAACTCTACTATTAAGTTATTAACTCTACTATTTACTTATTCAATTTACAATCTACTATAAATTACCTACTCTCTATGTATATAATTGTATCAAAACCTGGTGTTATATCAATTAATATAACAGTACTTTTCAAAAGTTCAAAGTGAGTTTTGTTAAAATATTTTGTTGGTTTATATAATTAAAGAATCAATTTTATGTAAAAATATGAAATTTATTAATTTATCCTCTACATTCTATTTAATTATTCACAAACAACTTCCAACCAATTTCAGCCCACATGTTTATGAACAAAACTACAGGTAAAACAACTAATATTAATAAGATATAGTTGACAAATTCATCCATAACTGTGATTAAATATACAACTTGTTAATAGGTAAATTCTATGAAGACACATTTGTAGATAATAGTTCGTCTGTAAGTGATGTAAAAAGTCACTGTTTAACTTTACGTTATAGCAATTTAATATTATTATTCACGAAACAATTTTAATAAAACACACCAAGAACATAAAAAGTAGTCTTCTTTTGGTTTTATCACCAAGTATTTATTCTTTCTGTGTTTATCATACAATTTCGTTCTTCTTCCTTTTTATAGCCCTTTTGCATATATATTATTAATAATTACTTGGACAATTCCCCAGAAAAAGTCACGGGTCACAAAGGAGAACAAATTACAAATAATATTACATACAAATGGAAATAATTTTTTTCAATTTTGAACCACATCATTAAGTAGTATTATAATTCGTCCATGGGACAGGCGAAGGAACTAAGCCATACAGCCAAATCTTGGGCCACATCATTAAGCTCCTCACTTTTTGAGTGAGGAGCTAAATAGCGAGTTGTTTCGAATGAAAAGGCGACTCGATGCTTACTCAATATATTCAAGATTGAGGGAATGGGTTAAATTTTATGAGTTTTTTGGAACGATTCAGGTTTGTTTATGTGTTTCTTCGCATATACATATTTAAAATTTTATAGATAAATGATATTAATTAGTCTAAGTAAAAATCAAAGTTAATAAAAATGTATCGGTTTTATTTAGAAATATATTTATATGATTCGAAATATAAATGATTAATCGATTTAAAAAAATGAAACATTTGACACTATTGCAAATAAGTTGCGTGTTGTGGTCATTCTGTTAAATAATAATCTTATAAAGTTTATTTCTTAGAATCTAAAGACAAAATATGTTTTGTTTAGCATTACCGACTCCCTCCCTCATTTTGTACCAAATGGCAATGTTACGCGCGCCTCGCTACGTACTCATTCACTGCTACTATAACATTACCTATCCTCACCTCAAATGAGGGGTAACTCGCGAGTCCCTCACGAGGGAAAATGAGGTACTCACTCATCCTCATTAAAAAAGAGTGAGTAACACAACGCTATCTGGAAATAATTGACATTAGGGATGTTAGTCATGGAACAAAGGAGCGATCGGGAACGGAAAACCGATATAGGTCGAATATAATATCGAATACTGATATCGACATCGAATACTAAGATCTAAGACTATCAACGTCACTAATATCTAATGAAGTCAAACAATAAATAAATATTCTCCAAATATTAACATTTAACTGTACTGGTGAATTTGTGTCCCGTGAGTGACTGATAAAAATCAGACTTGTGTACTTCATGAACGATGTACGATTAGCTAAGTAGCTAGTTCACTAGAATCTTTAATAGGTTAATTGGTCTATTCGGTCACTTTCATTATTTATGGCACTATGGGCAAATTGTGAGCCGTATGTCATCATAATCTAAAGCAATAAAGCAGAATATCATCTCCACAGAAATATATCTAGTTAGAAGGAAAAAGTGTACGTACTTCGCGTGCCAAAACGACATCTAGATAGCTTCATTGCTCGCCGCGAGGCTCAGTCCACTTTCGATCGCAATCGGTGTTGGACGAAATTTAAAATGACGCGTTGTTCGATAATTACCTGTTCAAACACCACCAATATGGTTGGATCTTATAGTCGAGGTATTTCCTTCCATCGGTAAGTAACTATTTGCCTGGATATATCTATTTTGAATTAAAAATCATTAGTTTTGTTGCTCCGTATTATTTTTATCAAAGCTTTCCATTGCGGCTTTAATTTGACAGTCCAAATTTGCTGTGCTTGTAAAACCATCGATGTATAATTCAAGGTCAATTTGTTGGAGGACAAATTAGCATTTTTTCTGTCAAAAATGGAGAATAGTGCTGTACAATGCGATTTTTTTACCCGATTAAAAAAATATCGTTTTTGAAAGCAGAAGAAAGGATAATTAATTTTATATTGAATTATACTGTAATTTTTGTTTTAGTTTTCCGTATGATCCTCATATTAAAAATAAATGGATTGAAGCAACAGGACTCTAAGGCAAATAGTAGGTATACTTACTGGACATGGAAACTTTAACAAACACCTATATAACATGGGTTATTCTGACAGTCC